CATTATCATTATTATTACATTCACATACTGGTTTTCTTCATTACCTTTACCCATTTTCTCCGGCTTTGGTTTCAATGCTATGAATTTCGTGCGTGCATTATTCCCGTTTTCCACCCACTCCTTTGCGTAAACCTTGTCACATAGTTGGTTTTGTCGGTTCGTTCCAGCCAAAATACCAGACGTTTGTAGATTGTGCCACCTTCTGAGATCTTCTGAATCGCCACGATCACAATTACCAACCTTTTTGCGTGCTACTACAATTTTTTGTCTTTGTAATTTGCTCTTCTCATCTTTCTCACGGACACCACCTCATCACTTTCCGATATACTTTGACCCAATTTCATCGGTTCCATTGTCCTCGGTTCCGTTCTGATTTTCTTCTGTCTCTCTCTGTCTTCATTCCATTTCTGTTCTTCTGTAGACGGGCGAGGTAAACAGGGTGTAGCCGTACAAATATATATAGCGGGGAAAAAGAAGGTAGCTGTAGGGGATCGGGTGTAGGCTATATAAGGGGTGGGGATAGAAAGAGATAGGGCTTTGGTTCATAGCAATTATTGGGGCACAGGGATAGGGATCAGGCGGGGCTAGCTATTAAGAATTAGGGTTGTTTTCAGGGCATTAGTCAGGGACGGGCGGGGAAAGCATTTAAGGCGCACACACACATTTCAGACTCCCAACCGTTGTTCAGGTTCGGAGCGTGTGTTTAGGGTTGCTTCAAACTCAGACTCAAGATTTCTTTATTTATATTTGTCCCATTCGCCTGTTATGTTTATCTCTTTCACACACCATCAGCACTCACCATTTTATCCCAATTGTACAGTGGATTTGTGCTGTCCGCGTCATGTGTGCACGCCCACTTTTCAAACATTCATTCTGTCAGTCCAGATTGTTTGCCCCTCCCCACCTTCCATTTGCGCCCTCAAATCGTTATCCCGTTGTTGTTTTTTGTGTGATCTGGGTTCATTTTCGTTTACTTTTCCAAACCGCCATGGACAACAACATGCCGCGGACTGGACTGAACTGTTGTTCTGTGTTGGTAGAACATAGCTATCATTCACTGTATTGCCTGATATGTTTTACTCTCCAGTACGCTCAGTGAAATTTCTCACATTTAAGGGTTGTTTTCATTTGCACAGTCCACTTTTTCTCATTCAAGATAAAAAAAAAATAGTTTTCTCTTTTTCTACTGAACCTTTTGAACAATTGTTATGTCTTATTGTGCGTTGCACACGTTGAATACTAGACGTATTAGAAGTGGTGGATTTTTTATTACATACCTTAGTGTGGCGAATAGCAGACGGGGTAAACCCCGTAATCACGAAGACCAGATGGTTACCGGTAATCGGAGCCCCGTTACTTGGAGTGGTGAACCACATTAGGCCGCCATAAGTTAGGCGTGGTATTTAACCGGACTACAGCAAAGCAGGCCAACACCAAAGTCGAGTGGCGTTGGTAGGGCTCGAAACAAAGGGTCCAAAGCCCACTGGTGACGGCGACTAAACCACTGCGGCATCAGCACCCGGTGATTCACCACAAGTCGAGCAACAGAGGTGCGAACCGGAAAGCTATGAAACACTGCGTATGCTTCGAATTCTTCCATCTTGATCAAGAGTTAGAATATATATATATATGGTAAATTTTGTCCAGTCATTCCCACACTAATTATTGTCAAATATTAAATAACACGCTCAGGTCGCGTTTGTTGCGACAATTAGCATCTAACCTTTCTACAAGTAATTTAATCATACTTTTGATTCTTCAATAGACTGAATCTGCAAGAGTTATCAATCAAAATTCCCGCTGTTACAAATGAGGTTGTTGTTTTAGTTTGATTGGGTTGAAAGCCGTTTTCAGATCGGGGAGGATAGAAGTGGTGGGTTTCCGAAAGGAGTTTCTGCGTTCTCGAATTCACGAAGTTTGAAAATGTGTTCGATATAACCTTGACCAGCCTATTTCTCATGCGGCGAACAATCGATGGAGTGTGATGCCAGCGAAGAGTTTAGAAGCAATATTGAACAAACTAATTCTTCAATGGTTTTCTCAAGAGAACCTGTCACTTGTCTTATAAATCGTAATGATGACCGATCCACACTGACCCGAAAGGTTTCGTTAATTCCGAAAATAAGGCTGAACTTCCATCCAATGGGGACAGCCCATTTGAGCTGGAAACCTTATTTCCCGGGATATTTTAGATGGAGAACTGGCATCATTGGGGAGTATTTTCCCAGTCGAGTTGGCGGTGTTAATGGGGGGCAGCTAAACAGCCTCAAAATGTTCAGCCCATCGACCAACGTGACGTTGCTGATGGTGAATCAGTGCCGTCGGATTCCTTAATCGTTTCAATCCGCCTATTTTCCTGAATCCAGTACTCCTGATTAGACGGTAGCGAATACGACTAAAACCAATAGCTGCAGCTTCTGTTTCTTTACACTTTCCTACCCTCCACTTCTCGCGGTCATTCCTCAGACTCTTGATGAGCTGTTATTTGAGGGATTTGCACGCCGTGTCCAATGTAGCATCAAGAGGATTGGTTCTGCGGGTATCCAACTGCAGCTGATGTCGAAGAGATCCATCGTTTGTGTTTTGAGCCTGCCCAAGAGACATTCAACTACTGACTGGAATCCAGTCGAGAAGCGAACCATCAGCCTTGAGATTTAGCGCAATGCCGACACCGGCAACACCGCGATCTTCGGATGCCCAGCTAGAGCATGCGTTAGCTGTCCAATGAAGTGCCGTTCCTACGTCCGTCTGGCGGATGTTTTTTTGACCGGTAAACTGCTCCTCGTGTTTGTTTGCTGGAGTGACCTCTCCAGGGGCGGGT